TTCTGCAAAAAAAAAAAAAAATTAAGCCATGAAAGGATAAATCTTATTTATTTATTTATTTATTTATTTATTTTGGTGTAACCTGGGTTTTGAACTCAGGCCCTTGTGCTTGCCAGGCAAGCGCTTATTTTACCAAGCCATTCCCCCCCCCCAAAGGATAAATAAAACTGATATTTAATAAAACTGGTATTTAACCAGTAGAGAAAATACAATTGGCTAGGCTGCACTCAGACCTCCAACCTTTCCACCTCAGACTCCTGGAATGTGGCACTACAGAGGGCGCCTCTGGGCCTGCTTTAGGCGCATTTTAATGATTGCCCTTGGCTAATGCTTGTTAGGCTATGTTTTAAAAGGGAGTTGATGAACATTCATACCCAATTACCCCAAATACTCTTTTTTTTTTTTTTTTGCGGAACCGGGGATTGAACTCAGATCCTTGCGTTTGCCAGTCAAGCACTTATCCTACTGAGCCATCTCCCCGGCCCCCCCAATTACTCTTCCCTAGAACTCAGTTTCAGAAAAATCTTGGCCCTTGTCTTTAACACAATCAAAACTAAATAAAAGTGACTCACTTGAGTTAGAAATATATGTGTGTGTGTGTGTATATATATATATATATATATATATTTTTTTTTTTTTTTTTTTTTTTCAGAACCGAGGATTGAACTCAGGCCCTTGTGCTTGCCATGGGAGGGATTATTCTACTGAGCCATCTCCCTGGCCCCTTAGAACTGCTCCTTCAGTTTAAGTTAAAGTTCATTTTTTCCCTTACAGTGGTGACTTTTTAGTAACTTCAAGAAAAGCTGGGGATATAGCTCAGAGGCTTAAGTGCCTGCCTGGCAAGCACAAGGTCCCAAGTTCAATCCCTGGTACAGCAAAAAACAAACAACAAGAAACCCCTAGAAGAAATGGGAGGGCTAGGGAGATAGCTCAGTAGAATAGGGTTGATAGCTAGAGTTTATTTGCCCTTCCCTTTTCCCACTCCTGTTTCTCCTGGTGCCTTCTCATTCCAGATGAAGGACAACGCAGGGAGCGAGCTGAAAGCCAAGAAGCCCAAGCAGGTAAAGCAGCACCCTGCCTGTCCTGCGCTGCGAGGTGGGGACTCTGTCCATCCCCATCGTCATGTCTGCCTCAGTGTTGGCGAGGCTGCCGCGTGGTGCTGCTCTGATGTCAGTGCATGAACAAAGACCACCTGTTCAAAACTCAAACTCCCTTGTTGTAGGAGTCACTTCCAGGGCCTCAGCTCTGTCCAAGAAGCCAATATTTATAATCCCAAAGTTGTGTTATTGGAATCCCATCAAGTTGATTCCAGTCTACCACTTACAATGCAACCCATGGCGAAAATAAAGACACTAAGTTATACTTTCAATCATCGGGGAGTCAGAGGGCTCTAAGTCCAGCCACGAAGATGGCTTTCTGGAACCCAGAGAGGGCAACCCAGGGCCTCACCTGGTTTTTATTCAGTGGGGGAGTGGCTTGAGGAGGATTGACTGAGAATTGTGGGAAGTAGGTGATCATTGTGGGCTGAGCTAGGTGGGTGGCCTACATTTACCTAAGGCCAATTGATAAACAGAAGTCATAGCCAGCTCTGTGCATAGGAAATAGGGTCAGGCTCAGGTGGTCTTCCACACCTTGTAGCTACAGGATTAGTTTTCCTGCATGAGGGAGTGTGTGTGTGTGTGTTGGGAAGTGACCATCCTCCTGCCTGCCCCCTGCAGCCCTTAGCATACCTGTGTCCAGGCTTTACGACCATGCCTTCAGGCGCCTGCTTGGGATGACATAGGCCCGTGGCATGGGAGTCTGGGACCAGGGACCGACCTCTGACTCCTGCTCCCCTTGGCACTGTGAGTTCTGGGCGGCACAGGGAACCTTTGCCCTGGTTATTGCGCCCCTTTCATCTGGACTGCGGGAGAGATTATAAGACACTTGACAGAATCTAATCCTGTATAGGAAATTTAGATTGTAATTTGACTTGACTTTGAGTTGATGAATTCAAAAGTCAAAAAAAATTCTCCAGAAGTCCAGAAAGGTTCCTGAAAACCTTCAGAATCCTAAAACTGAAAGAAAAAAGAAAAAAAAAGGAATCCTAAATCATCAGTATAGAACAAAGTAGTCTGTCTGATGAACTCATGGTGCCCTCTGCATGGCATGTGTCACAGAACAGGCTCTTCTCTGTCCCAGGCAGACAAATGACGATACCCGAGAGCTCATTTGCAAGGCTCGGCAGTGAGGAGCATCGGTCCCTCAGACTGTACTGGCCATGGCCAAAGACATTTTTTCTTTTTCTTTTTCTTTTTCTTTTTTTTTTTTTTTTTTGAGTGTGTGTATGTGTTTTTTTTTTTTAATCAAAAATGGGTTGTAGGCTGGGGAGATAGCTCAGCTGTCTAAGTGCCTGCCTGGCAAGCACAAGGACCAGGGCTCAATCCCTGGTACCACATGTCCTGCTGGTCCCAAAATTGGACATGGTGGTGCACGCCTGTAATCCCAGTGCTGGAGAGGCTAAAATAGAAGGATCACTATGAGTCCAAGCTGCATAGCGAGACCCTGTACCAAATAAACAGATAAAAGATTTAAAAAATTATTATTTTGTATTTAGTACAGTGTCTCACTACATAGATTGGACTCGTAGTGATCCTTCTGTTTACAGCCTCCCAAGTGCTGGGATTATAGGCATGCGCCACCACGCCCAGTTTCAATTGCTGTCTCATCGTGCCCTGCATGTGGGGGCCAGCATGGTAGGCCTGGGGATTTAACCCTCGGCCTTTGCATCTGTCTACGCAGAAAAAAAATTTTAAATGGGTTGTATTATGCTAGGAAGAAACAATCCAGTACAGATCCACATTGCTCAGAGTGGATCGATCACCTTGGTGTTGCTTCCTTGGGTGGTGAAAGTTGGGCTTGAAATTCAGCCCTCTCCAGATTAGCTCCCCTCTCAGCCCCCGGGACTCTCTCCACTGGCTGCACAAGAGCCCAGCAACCCACCAGGCCTCCAGATCTGTCCTTTTTAAATTTTTGGCCCTGGGAATTGAACTCATAACCTCACACTTGCCAGGTAGGCACTGTGCCACTGAGCTATGTCCCTGGTCCCAGATCTGTCCTTTAAGGAATCCAAACAATGCCCACTTGAGCTCAGGAACATAGGACGTGTGACAGAGTCATTCCTGTCTACAGTATCAGGGAGACTGGTGTCACATGTAGAAGTTGGTGTTCCGCTCTGAGTCTGCACTGAAACAAGCTTCCAGCCGAGACCGGGAAGGGGCTGCCCAGCGCTGGCCACTGGCCTCTTTACTCCTAGAGCAGTTCATCATTCCCTCCATGTGGCAGCCCTGGCTAATCCTGCAGAGGGCAGAAGGATTACTGAGTCAGAGTATGTGTTCAATGCACTCGTTTCTTCAAAGGCAAGGGGGAACAGGATAGGCAGACAGGCCTGGCCCATGAGCAGTGAAGTTCCTATGACTTAGGAAGGATTTCTTCCAGGCAGTTCATAATGAGCCTCAGTCTTTCCTGCCTACAGGAATGACCCAAAGAGCTTTAAAAACATGGCGACTCAGGCCCCACCCACAGACTCTTGAGTAACTGGTTTAGAGAGGACTCTGGGTATTGGGCTCTCTGTGTATTTAGTTGACTCCAAAGTACAGAGAGTGGCTATCATCATTTGCCCAGAGGACTGGCTTTAAATCATCAGCTGTGTGAGGCCTCTGATGAAATTGCCCAGTTTCTCTGGAGTCAGGGTAATTCTCATCCCTCTGATTGTGGAGCTGTGCTTTTCACAGACACACGGGGCACTGTGTGGCCCACAGTGCTGGGAGGGGTCAGCAGGTGTGGCAGGTGGTGACCTCATGCCACCACTGGGCCTCCGCAGTGAGCTGGGTGGGTGGAAGGGTGTGCTGAGTCTGACTCCTTCTTGTCCGACTGTAGGAGGGCCACATCTGGGGCTCCATGAGGAGGATAGCATTCATCCTGGGCTCTGGTCTTCTCCTGTCTGTGGCTTTGTGGAACTCAGTTATGTGGTAGGTGCATGGGCCACTCCCGTCTGGGACCTGTGGGAAGCACGGCAGCTGTTGGGGCGGACCTTGGAGGAGGAAGCCACCTGCCCACGAGCTTTCACCCGGAACCCTGGGTGGTTTTTCTCCCCAGGCATCTTCAGAGATTCTGGGGTGCTTCTGGCCACTTTTGGCAAGCCCAGTGGGAGAGGCTGCTATGGAACTTTGAAGGGAAAGAGTGGATCCTCTTCATAACAGGTGAGGCTTCCAGACTGACCACCTTTGGGCCACGCATATGCAATTTTAGCTTCCTTCTTTTTCCGCTCTTCTGTTCTGTTTTAAGACTTTCCAGTTTATTATTACAAAGGACGAGGACTTGGCGCTCCGCAGTCGTACCGATGAATGCTAAATCTGTGAGCACTTTGGAAAGAGCAGATCTAAAACAGAAGCGTGGGGCCTGGGAGATAGCTCAGTGGCATAATCACCTGCCTGGCAAGCACAAGGTTCTGAGTTCAATCCCCAGTACCACCTAAATACGTAAATAAAAATAAAACAAGCTAAGGGATTGAGGACCCCATCCCCCAATATAGGAAGAGAACTCTTGCATAAAAATGAATGCAGTTCACAGCAGTGGTGCAGCTTCTGCATGCAACTCCACGAGGGCAGGGCGCCGTCTGATCTGAGACTGTCCCCGTGACTGTCGGTGCTGGCAGCCCGAGGCCACTCTGCACTCCAGCACCATGGTGCCAAGCAGACTGAAGAAAAGCTCATAGAAGGAAAAAGCCTGAAACACAGCAGTGAAGGTTATCGATCATTCAGTGATTTTTTTTTTCTTAATTTTTGAGACAAAGTCTCCTTATGTGCTTCAGATTGGCCTTAAGCTGTGTAGTCAAGGCTAACCTTGAACTTGTGGTGGTCCTTCTGCCTCAGTCCCCCAGAGTGCTGGGATTATAGGTATATGCCACCATACACTGCCCTGGGTGATATTTTTTTAAGATTACAGTACGCCAAACCTGTATGAGGATGTAGAAATACATGAGAGGAAACATTTGTCTGCCCCATTAAAAAATGTCAGTTTAGGCGCTGGTGAGATGGCTCAGTGGTCTAAAGCACCTACTTAGAACAAGCTAAGCTTAGCAAAGCACAGGGACCGCGGTTCAATCCCCAGCACCACATGCCAGCCAGCCCTGCCCCCTGGTGGGCTGAGCTGGCCACACACACACACACACACATAAATAAAAATTTTTTTTAAATGTCAGTTTAGGAGGGAAAAGCAAAACTATAAATAAAATGTGCTGACTATTTTCAGCAAAGGGGAACTCTGTGACTATAACAGGCGCTCAGGCACCTCCAGCAGTCACAGAGAGACCCAGGCAAATTGCCAGCCTGTGAGGGAAGCAGCAGGAAAACGCTGCGTGTCTGCTGCCACCGACTGACTACCTAGCAGAGACCAGCACTGGCTGTGTCTCCCAGACCCTGCCGAGAGGAGCAGGGGGTGGGCAGGCTGCAGACACAGGATTAGGGACACTGCCTGCCCCTTTCGAGACTGCGAATCTAGTGGGGGCGCCAAAGCAGGCAGAGCAAATCTGCGGTTCTAGGGTTAAGAAACATTGCAGTGTCGCTTGAAGGACTACCAGCTGCAGAGGCTGAAGTGCTGCTTGTTCAAAAGCAAAGATACTTGAAAAGACTTTGTGGAAAGATAGGATGTGGAGCAAAAAAACGAAGCTGAATTTTAAGTCACGATCAGAATTTTCTAAAGTACACTGCAAGGCATCCATCGCGGCTAGGGAAGGTTGATAGGCAGAGTAGATATATCAGTTTATCTTCTCCATGAAGAGTGAAGAGAGACGTTATGTCACTTACGTTGGAATGACAAATATAAATTTAAATTGTCCTGAGCAAACAGAGATGAATGTTGTCCTGTTGTTAGGTATTGTGGGAAAACTGTTCTAGGGACAAACAGGGCCGAGTTTTTCTTAAGGTACTGGGGATTGAACACAGGGCCTTGTCACTGAACTCCATCCCCAGTCCAATGCCTTTATTTCCTCAATGTGAGGTTTCACCAAGTCCCTGAGTTGTTCAGACTGGACTCAAACTTGTGATCCCCTGCCTCAGCCTCCCGGAATGCTGGGATTGGAGGTGTGCGCCCCTACTACAAAGGCTGACTTGGACACAGACGTCTGTGCTGCAGGACTCCTCGGAGCTGTGTGCGCAGCAGCAGGCCGTTGCGCTACAGAGAGCAGGGCATGGAGACTTGCAGCAAAGAGCCCCCGAAAGGGGTCCTCTGTCTTGGGGCGCTGACCACACGATGCTGGCGGGCCTATGGCTGTGGCCCCGTTAGTGGGGGACTGGATGAGGCTTCCAGCTGACTTTTTCCCTGGCTGTTGCTTCCCTAACAGCTCGTACTCAGTGGACATTGACTAAATCCAGTTCTGTGGTAGAATATTTTTTTTAATGTGTGTGTGTGTGTCTGTGTGTGGCCAGCTCAGCCCACCAGGGGGCGGGGCTGGCTGGCACGTGGTGCTGGGGATTGAACCGCGGTCCCTGTGCTTTGCTAAGCTTGTTCTAAGTAGGTGCTTTAGACCACTGAGCCATCTCACCAGCCCCTGTGGTAGAATATTATATACAGCACAAGATGTAACCAGAACATATGGTCAGTGTTTAAATTTTAAAAATACAGTTAAGACGCACTGCCGCTAACCACCCAGAACACTCCCTCTTGCTCTGAAAGCACGCATCCCGCTCCAGATGCCTCCATGGCCTCTCATAAGGTGCGACAGCAGAGTGGCAGAGCACACAAAGGCAGGCCCGGAGACGCGCCGGGCTGCGTCCGTGCAGTGTGCCTTCGGCCGCCTTACCCATCAGGTCTGGCTTGTGCAGCTTCTGGCTCTTCCAAAGTCAAAACCACCAAGAAAGGTAAATGTGGGCTGGTGAGATGGCTCAGTGGTCTAAAGCACCTACTTAGAACAAGCTAAGCTAAGCAAAGCACAGGGACCGTGGTTCAATCCCCCAGCACCACATGCCAGCCAGCCCCGCCCCCTGGTGGGCTGAGCTGGCCACACACACAAAATAAATGAATGAATGAATAAATAAATCTTTAGGGGCTGGAGAGATGGCTCAGTGGTCTAAAGCACCTACTTAGAACAAGCTTAGCAAAACACAGGGACCGCGGTTCAATCCCCCAGCACCACATGCCAGCCAGCCCGCCCCCTGGTGGGCTGAGCTGGCCACACACACACACACACACACAAATAAATAAAATTAATTAAAAAAAAAAAAAAAAAAGAAAGGTAAATGTTTCAGTGTGATTCAGGACGTCACCACAGCTAAGACAGTGCAACTAACGAGCGCCGTGAAGCAGGACTCCCAGACGCACTCCAGAAAGTGGCGAGAGTGTTAGGTTAAGTGTGTTTGCAGTGACGGGGAGATCTTTTTTTTTTTTTGCGGAACCGTGGATTGAACTCAGGCCCTTGTGCTTGCCGGGGAAGCACTTACTCCACTGAGCCATCTCCCCGGCCCCACCGGGGAGATCTTGAGGGGAATTAATGACGTGTTTTGCTGTAATAAAGATTTTTTAGGGCCGGGGAGATGGTTCAGTTGAATAAGCACTTCCCTGGCAAGCTCAAGGGCCTGAGTTCAATCCCTAGTTCCACAAAACAAAAAGATTTCTTAAATACTAGATGTTCACCATTTTTGTTTTTATACTAAGAACTGAACTTACCACCTCATGCTTGCCAGGCAGGTGCTGTGCCGCTGAGCTATAGCCCTGGCTTTCACTGTATTTTTGATCATACCTTGTATTAGCATCCTTTATGCTATATATTAGCATAATCTGTCTCTAATTACCTAAGCGATTATCATCCCCCATTTTACCGCTGAGAAAATAAGTACAGACCACCCTTAAGAGACTGTTCTTGTCCCCACACTTAGTCTGTCACCAAGACGAAGGTCGGCCCAGCCCCTGCTGGCAGGGGCAGCCAGCATGAAGCATGTGCTGTTGGCCTGTGGCGAGCCCGGAAGCCACTGACTCCCCTCTGCCGCCCGCCCTCAGGTGCTGCCCTTGTGCCCGGGCTGCTCTTCTGGGCCTTCAATGGGCTTCTGCTTGTGGTGGACACAACGGGAAAACCAGGCTGCATCGCCCGCTACCGGATTCAGCAGGGCAAGAACCAACCTGTAAGTGTGCTGCAGCTCTTGTGGTCAGAGCCTGAAAGCCACAGTCTCAGCTGGGTGGGACCAAGGGTTTCTATTTAGGGCTTCTTTGGTCTAGGAGGAAATCTGTCCAGATTTTCATAGCCACTCACTAATGACCAGTCTAGAACAGCATTTTTTTTTTTTTTTTAGAACAGCATTTTTTAAAAAATGTATTTAGTACAGGGTCTATAGGGTCTCATTACACAGATCGGACTCATAGTGATCCTCCTATTTTCAGCCTCCCAAGCACTGGGATTACAGGCACCTGCCCTGGGGACAGGACTGGCAGGGCACGCCAGGGATCTATCTCCCTGTGTCTGCCTAAACAGGCACTTTTAATCTGCTGAACTATCTGGCCAGCCCTAGAACAGTATTCTTGTCTGAACCTACTTACTGGTCCGCAGCACTTGGTCAGCATTTAGGAACAGAAGTATTCATTTCACCTCAGTGCTGGGCTGCCCGAGATATTAGGCAGCTTCCCTTCATCCACAGGGAACAGGGACAGCTCTGGCTGGGTGCTGAAACTACAGCTACCCACCGATGCTGTGGGACAGATGGTGGCCCAAACCACAGTGAGCCCGCTGTGTGGTTCTAAGTGGGTGGATGGGAGCCGCTGTCCTCGTCATTCAGCCCAGTGGCCAGGGCAGGGTACTAGGGCAGATGCCCAAGAAGCAGGCTCAGCCAGGAAGTAAACCCTCTGCTCCCTCGGTCAGGCTTGCCTCCTGCTTGTGCACCGAGGACTCTCAGAAACCTCGGCTTACCCCCTAGGGAAGGGCTGGCTCTTTCCTCAGTTCCACCCCAACCACAGCCCGGCTACTTTTCCAGCCAAGGCAGTCATCTTTTCTTTTCTTGCTAATCATTTATTTATTTGGTACAGGGTCTCACTATGCATCTCAGACTTATAGTGATCCTCTCTTAGCCTCCACAGTGCTGGTATTACAGGCGTGTGCCACCACACCTGGTTTCCAGGCCAGCACGGTGTGTGGTACCAGGGATCGAACTCGGGTCCTTGCGCTTGCCAGGTAGGCTCTTAGACTACTGGTGTCCCTCCTCAGCCAGCCAAGGCAGTCATCTTTTAACCTCCTGCCAAGGTAGAGGAGCTGCAGTGTGAGTGCTCCCAGCTTCAAGGCCCACCTCCAGCAGCTGCCACAGCATGAGGCCGAGCGTGACCAACAGTGTTCTTAGCCCTGTCTGTGGGAATGGCCTTTCCAGCCCAAACTGCACAACCTTCATGGCTTTGCGTCTGCTCTTGGAAAGGAGCTCTGTACTTCCTCCTTCTGTGTTCATACATCTCTGTCCAGATTCTCCCTTCCCTCTGGATTGTTACAAACATGCTCTCATTTTTCTCATTTTAAAACAAACTTTGGCCTGGCGTGGTGGCACACCCCTGTACCCGCAGCACTTGGAAAGCTGAGGCAAGAGGCCTGCCATGATTCCAGGCCAGCCAGGCTACATACTGAGGTCCTCTCCAAACACCCACACACACTCTTCACAGTGTTTCCTGTACTGGCTGTCACACCATCTTCCCATTCTATTGCCCTGAGCAAGTGGAGCACATTTATGATCCTAGTACTCTGGGTGCTGAAGCAGGAAGATCACAAGTTGGAGTACAGTCTGGGGACCCTAGTGACACAGGAAGACCCTGTTACGGTTTCTGTCTAATGTGCCTAAGCCTCACATGCCTCACATGTAGGTGGGCTTCGGGGCATGATGGGAGCTTGGGTGGTGGCCTGGGTCTCTCTCCCTCATGTCTGCCTTCATCTCTCTGCTTCCTGCTGCCCTGCAACAAGCTGGATGTAGTTTACTGCAAAGGCCTTGGGTTCATTCTCTAGTACTGCAAAACACAAAACAAAATGAAGTTTTAGAGTTGTCTATATAGTTGCCATTCCTCTGTTTATTCTAAACATGTTGTTACAATAATGAGAATATTTAAACATACAGAAATGTTGACAAATAGTGTGATGATCACTCATTTATGCATCATGCAGACTACTCAATTCTAAACATATTACAACTTTTGCTTTTTCCATATAAGATAAATTATATGAACCTGGAATTTTTTACTTAACCTTTTAAAAGTACATTCAAGACATAAGACTTCAGCCTAAATCAATCTTTTAGCCTTTATCTCATAAAATAATTACAAAAACATCATCTCTGCCTATTTTTTAAGATGGTCTTGCTCTGTCACTTGGGCTGGCTTTGGCTTTGAACTCACTATGTAGCCCAGGGTAGCCTCAAATTTGTGGCAATCCTCCAGCCTTAGGTTTCTGAGTGCTGGATTACAGGCCTGGCCTCATCTCTTTTTTTTTTTTTTTTTTTTCAGAACCAGGGATTGAACTCAGGACCTTGAGCTTGCCAGGGAAGCGCTAATTCCACTGAGCCATCCCCCCAACCCCAACATATATTTCTAGAAACCACCTCTAATCAACTAGTCATTCAGTCTTTTTTTTTTTTTTTTTTGGCGGAACTGGGGATTGAACTCAGACCCTTGCACTTGCCAAGGAAGTGCTTATTCCACTGAGCCATCTCCCCAGCCCCTAGTCATTCAGTCTTAAGTCACTTTTCCTATCAATGGGACCAGATACCTGAAAGGCATACCCTGAAGGAGAGGGGGTTCAGTCCAAGGCTGGCTTGCTGAGGCACAGCCTGAGGGAACAGAATGGTGGAAGGGAGGAAGCTGCTCAGCCCACTGAAGCCAGGAAGCAGGGAGAGAGGAGGGAGGCCAGGGCTGAAATCCTGCCCTTCTGGGTCACAGGTCACACTCCAGGGACCCACCCAGCCTGGCCCCCTCCAGCCTGCACACTCATCTCCTCAACTTCTCATTGGACAAATCCACAGGAGATGGCGGGTGCAGATCAAAGCAATGCCTTCCCAGAGGGCTCTGCCGGGACTCCTTTTGGCAAGTTTAATGATGGAACACTGTGCATTTTCACAGCTGCTCATTCCTCAGCCTTGATTTATTTTCTTCCAAGCTCCCCAGAGGACCTCCATGGCTCTCACCCTGTCCTACTGAGCTCTCCTTCAGTCTCCTTTCCAGTTATCTTCTCCCCAGCTTCTTACGGTCAAATGCCAGGGCTCTGGCTTGGACCCCTTTTCTCCTTTCCTTTCTTTCTTTCTTTTTTTTTTTTTTTTTTTTCCGTCTATTCCCCTCTCAGTTCTGTCTGTAGTACTGACCTTTCCTGACAGTCCCTATGTGAAGTATTCTTTGAAGTATTGAACATTTGGGTCTATAATGGGCATGCTAGATTTAACAAGGCCAAACAATCTATTCTTCTCTTTCAAACAGGCTTCTCCTCTTCTACTTTATAAGTGCTGCTGATACAGGGAGAAAAACTGGTCTCCGGTGGGTGGCCTCCAAATGATACAGGGAACCTCCAAATGACATAGAGAAAAACGATCTCTGGACCTAACCTGCACGAGTTTGTGTTCTCTAAAACCGAAGAATGAATTTTAGGAACAGAGGTTATGAGCAGAATATATTTATTGAGAGAAAGCTCCTGTCCCGAGAGAGAGACAGGAGGGGGGCCTGAGTGGGTAGTTTCCCCTCCCTTTTCTCCTTTGTTTCATTCTCTCATTGATCATTTAGTGCCTGGTCTTAAATACCGCCTGTATGCTCACAGCTCATAAATTTGTGTCTCTAGCCCAGAACTGTCTCCTGATTCCAGGCTCAAATACTCAAGTCCCCCCTGCCCCATCTCCTCGCGCATGCTCAAGGGCAGCTCCAGTCCAGTGCATCCAATGGAGGTCTCCCTCATCTCCCAGCTGTTACTGTCCACAGCCTCCCTCATCTGAACTGATGGCAGGCCCATCCTCCCACTTGCTGGGGCGCAAAGCCCAAGTCAGTCCTGCCCACTCTGTCCCTTACCTTCCACACCTATGGCCAGAAAACCTTGCCTGTGTCTGCACCACACACTGATCAGAATGCAGTGGCTTCTCACTGCTACACTGCTGTCACGCTTGTACATGTCACCCCTATCGCTACTGCACTGCAGTTCTTCTTTCCATCAGTACTTTATGGCCAGAGTAATACTTACCTGCTCCTAACTTTGCAGTGGCTTCCTACTCCTCTTGAAGTAGAGGCCAAAGTCCTTAAATGCCCCATAAGGCCCTGTGTGACCTGGCCTTCCCAGCTCACCAACTTGCCTGTAACTCACTCTTCTCACAAGCCATGCGGACCAAGAATGTGCCTTAGAACCTTTTCAGCAGTTGGCCCTTTCCTGGATGGCTCCTCCCTAACATATACTTGGCTACCTCCCTCTCCTTCACTACAGTTCAAATCTGACCACCAGAGGTCTACCTGTACCACAGTGTTCAAAATCGATGGTGAGGGGGGAACTACCCACTCGGCCTCCCCCATCCCTCTCTCGGGACAGGACTTTTTCTCAAAATATATTCTGCTCATAACCTCTGTTTGTGCCTAAAATTCATTCTTCGGTTTTAGAGAACATGAACTCGTGCAGGTTAGGTCCAGAGATCGTTTTTCTCTATGTCATTTGGAAGTTCCCTATATCATTTGGAGGCCACCCACCGGAGACCAGTTTTTCTCCCTGTATCATTTTGGAGGTTCCACCAAGATCACCGGACAGAGATTCAAAGCTGTAATGAAAATCCATGGTGTCTATTGAGGGCCTTTAGATAGAACCTCTGAAGAATATATCTGACTACTGGTCAACAACTACGACCCATTTAAGCTTGAAGAAGCCAGAGTGGTCATCACCCATAGTTCCCTCACAGCAGTTCGGGTTACTTCTTCAGAGGGGGGAATGTTGCAGGCAGCCAAGTTAGACAGAAATATTATAGGCAGTCAGACAGGGCCAGGCCCTCAAGGAGACAAGATGGAAGACAAGGTGACTTTGCAACTTGGAAGAGACAGACACTCCCATATGGGCCACACCTAAAGACCAAGACAAAAGAGGAAGCGCAGCTACATACTTCCCTAGGGATGGGCATTAGGGATTGATGTCCTAAATAGTATCAATCAACTTGAAAGAGCCCAAATGAGTCACTAGCCCAACCCCCAACAGGAAGAGACCCTGTCCCATATTCGTGCCCGCTTGCTATGTGACTCGCTTTCCCATTCGATACTGGATTTAATCAATTTTACCTGAGCAATGGTGCTTGTAATCTCATTGGTTGACCATAGTTTGGTCCCACCTCATGCCCAACTAAGCAAGTTCCCATGTCTTCTCCACCACCTTAGACGCGCCTCACCACATGGTTTTCCTCTATAAAAGTCCCTGCAAGAGACAACTTCCTGGGGGGAACTACCCACTCGGGTCCCCCCTCCTGTCCCTCTCTTGGGACAGGAGCTTTCTTTCTCTCAATTAATATATTCTGCTCATAAAAAAAGAAAAAAAATCAATGGTGACTCTCCCTTACCTGAAACTCTCAGTGCCACTTCCCCTCCTTTACTTTCTTTTACCTGAACATACAATCACCTTGTAATACACTAAACACGTTTTTTTTTTTATTTATTTATTTGTGTGTGTGTGTGTGTGTGTGTGTGTGTGGCCAGCTCAGCCCACCAGGGGACGGGGCTGGCTGGCATGTGGTGCTGGGGATTGAACCGCGGTCCCTGTGCTTTGCTAAGCTTGTTCAAAGTAGGTGCTTTAGACCACTGAGCCATCTTACCAGCCCCTAAAAATGGCAGAAGTGTTTTTTTTTGTTTTTTTGTTTTTTTTCCCCGGAATGCCTTCAAGGCATGACTGGCTGTCTTCTGTTGTGGGGATCGAACCAAAGCAACCGGAGCCTGACTGCTTTGTTGAAGCAGCCACTTAAAGAACTGAGCTACGGGGCAGGCCCCCTTTTAAAGGGATTTTTTTTTTTTTTTTTTTTTTCCGGAACCGGGGATTGAACTCAGATCCTTGCATTTGCCAGTCAAGCACTTATCCTACTGAGCCATCTCCCCGGCCCCCCGCTAAACACGTTTCTAAATGTGTTTAGAAATGTGTTTAGTGTAATACACTAAGTGACTAATATTAGGCTGGACAGTTTCAATTGTTATCATTGCACATGGAATGTCACACCAGACTGGTCAGACCTGGCCTTATAATGGGATGAAAGTAGAAAACCGGAGTGAGTTCTGAGGTTAAAGGGAGTGTGGCCATTTGTGGCTAGCTCTGCAGAGCAGCCCGTGGACAAGCCCCTATTCTGACAGCTGCTCACTCGACAACCAGGCTGTAGTCACTGGACTGGAAGCAGCTCCCTGGCTGCCTCCCTGTGAGACCTGGGCCCAGTCCAGCCAGGCTGGACACAGAAGGTGGCAGGTGACTTTGGTCTCTGCATCTTTCATGGACAAGGCTCTCTAAACAAGGAGAGGCTGCAGAGCTAAACTAGGATGTCAACCTGAGTCAACAACCTTCCCCAAGTACTCTAGAGGCTTTGTAAGTTACCTACTAGGAATAGATGAGGCCCAGCAGAGAAACGGGGATGACATTAGTGACAGCTGCAGAAGTAGGAAGATGGGTTCAGGTAGAGACCAGTCTTCAAGAGCAGGGGCATCACTCATGCACAGCGTCCCCAGCTCCAGGGCTGATGGCAGAGGCTGCAACTGAGCCCATACAACTCTGAGTCCAATCCCTCTCCCTCTTCCCTTGGTAGGTAGACCCTGTGAAGCTGCGCCAGTCCATCCGCACAGTTCTTTCCAACCAGTACATGATCTCATTCCCCATGGTGGTCTTCCTCTACCCCTTCCTTAAGTGGTGGGGAGACCCCTGCCGTCGAGAGCTACCTACTTTCCACTGGTTCCTCCTGGAGCTGGCGATTTTTACCCTGATTGAGGAAGTCTTGTTCTACTATTCACACCGGTGAGCAGGGGCCCTGCCTGCACCAGCAGGCTTACTCTACCTGTAGCTCACTGATCAATAAGGAAGATGAGGCCTCACAATTCAGGTGTAGAACACCCTTTGGCCTCCCATTAAATGGTTAATGGAGACAACTGGAAACAGCCAGACAATGTTCAAAGAAATGCCCACTCCATTTGTGTGGGATAGCAGTGTCCCAACATTTTCTATTCATGCCTACATTCAGAATGAATCCTTTCTGGGACTCCCCCCCCATTTCCCGGGTTCAAACTACTGGGGTAGAGAGGCAAAGTAACCTTCCCCAGCACACACAGTGTAAGGGGTGGCATCCCAGTCTGAAAGCAGGCCTGAGTGCCACTATAGGGTGGTTTTCACTTTGCTCCACAGATGTAACCCGTAACTCCCACTTCAGTTTGCCATGGTCTGGCCATGGAGGTAAAGGAATCAGCAGATCGTTAACTTTTTTCCCAGGCTCCTTCACCACCCAACATTCTACAAGAGAATTCATAAGAAACACCACGAGTGGACAGCACCCATCGGTGTGATCTCGCTGTATGCCCACCCTGTAGAGCACGTGGTGAGTACAGCTTCAGGCTCCCAGTAACCTCATTAGTTCTGATTATGCTAATGAGGCCAGGGCACAATTAATAACTTACCCCAAATCACAAAAGTGAGTGTCTCCAGCAAGTCAAGGTCCTGATGCTACTCCAAACATCCTCAGACCCAAGTCAAGGAAGTCTTCCTTTGGTACCACTCCGGGCAGGATGGACCCTGCCTGGGTCCTCTCCCCCTTGGCACCACCTTCAGTTGCTCTTCCTCTTGCAGGCCTCCAACATGCTACCGGCAGCAGTGGGTCCCTTGTTAATGGGCGCCCATTTGTCCTCCATCACCGTGTGGTTTTCCTTGGCTCTCATCATCACCTCCATCTCCCACTGTGGCTACCACCTGCCCTTCCTGCCATCCCCTGAATTCCACGACTACCACCATCTCAAGTAAGGGCTGCCCCGCAGTTGATCCTAGGTAAAGGCTTCTGGTAGCAGACACTGGGGGTCAGTTGGAGGACGATGTCTACAGGTGGAGACAATGAGCACCTTACTGGGACTACTCTGATCTTTGACATTGGGCTCTCAAGCAAGTGTGGTTCTTGAGCTTTGTGTGGATCCTGGCCTCTGAGCATCTGATATAAATTATGGATGCTCTCTTCAGAATAATGCCTATGTGCATGAACATCTTGCATGTAATTCTAGGGCAGCTATGCTCTATGAAATCCTCCAGGCTTTTTCAAGCATGTTCTCTGAACTTCCTATGCCATTCACCTGGAATGCTTATTTAAGATGCAGGCTCTTGGGCTGACATTTCAGATAGGGTGGTTCAGAGTATCTACCACAGCAGAATCCAGAAACTTACCCTTTAACAAGGTATATAGGGTTCTGATGCAGATGGTTCCTAATGCTGCCAGGGTTCTCAAAAGATACATGCATCATAATCACACAGTGAGCTTTCCAAAGGAAGACTTCAGGCTTCACAGGTCTTGAGTGGCTCGAGGAAGGTGCACTTGTAAGAATTCTCCAGGTCCTTCTGGGATGGGTGCTCAGGAGACAGCGGTAAGCCAGGAGGTTGAGGATGAGTGAGGCAGGAGCAGATGAGACAGATGCCTAGCTATGGGCTTCCAGCACCAGCTACGCAGTGCTCTCCTCTCTCCTCCAGGTTCAACCAGTGCTACGGCGTGCTGGGGGTGCTGGACCACCTCCATGGGACTGACACCATGTTTAAGCAGACCAAGGCCTACGAGAGACATGTCCTCCTACTGGGCTTCACCCCACTGTCTGAGAGCATCCCAGACTCCCCAAAGATGGCGTGAGAGGGCCTTTGTACATCCTGGCTGTCCCAAGATTCTGAGGTGGCTTGAGAGCAACAAAAGCTCCTGAGCTGCAGGTCCATGAGGGAGAAGGTGCTCTGAGCAAGCTCCTGCCCCATCCCATCTACCCTCTGCTGGAGACCCCATGACCACACAAGTTGCAGAGGACAGAGGGTGGCAGCGGCACAGGAGGTTCCTGGGCTCCAGGGAGTGTGCCTTCTGATCCCAGGGTGGGGAATGAGGTATTGTTTTGCTTCTTTGTCCCCAAAAGCTTTTCTTACCCCTTACCTGGATAGAACCAGGGTATGCTGGCTGATAATTATTGGCCTCAGTTCTTAACCAGAACCCAGGCTCCACTTCCACACCAACAGGGACACAAAGACAAAAGTCCATTTCAACTCTGTGCCACCACATACAAATACCCTACTCTGAAAAGACACAAACCCATCACCCCCACCCCCACCCCCCGCCAGGAACTTCCCTAGGATTAGCCCTGATACCGGGAAGGCTCACAGCAAACTCCAGCACCCTCAGCCTGTATGTAGAGAACCTGAGAGTGCTCAGCGGGGTTACCTTCTACTCACATGGGGGAAAGGTCAGAGGCTGCCCTTCAGGGAGGCCGAGCAGCACTCACCAGGGTGTGAAGGAGGATGGAGTTCAAAAGCCCCTTTTCAAAAGGAGCCTAGAAAAACATGGCCAAAGGGCAAAATCCTTTGTCCTGAAGTGGTTAATCAGCAGCCTGGACACCATTTATTTTGGATGATTTTAGCAGCAACACCTTTCCCAAATGATTTCTTTTTTTGGCGGGGTGCGGTACCATGGAGGACCTTGTGCTTGCCAGGCAGGCACTTAAGCTGTTGAGCTATCTCCCTAGCTTGGGGTGAGTGGGGGGGTCTTTTTGAGACAGGGTTTTCACTATGTAGCCCAGGCTGCCCTTGAGCTCATGGCAGTTCTGCCTCAGCCTTCCAAGTGATGGGATTACAGGCGTGCACCACCACTCCCAGCTAAAATGACATCTTACTGGTATTCTTATTTAAAATAAAGCCCTAGACAGGCAGACATTGCCAGGAAGCTTACTGTGCTTTTATATTTGGTCAGTTTTGTAATCCCAGGCACTTTTAATATCTGATCAGGCCAAACCTCTAGACCAGTGATGACTAACCTTTTGTATCTTCCAGTAATGCAAACAGCTCACTGTGGTACAGTGCGTACACTATCACTCCTGCAGGCAGAACTATCAGAAAAGACTTACTTTCAAGGGTAACACCAAGAGGCCTGTTGCTCTTTGATGCATCAAACAGAATGGCCCTAAATTCTCACCAGAATAAGCCTATTACCATTTAAGTGGTTTTTGTTTACTTGGTACCACGAATCCAATTCAGGACCTCGTGCTTGCCAGGCAGGCACTGTGCCACTCAACGATATCCCTGGCCCTGTTTAATGCTCTGACAGCACTGCGATCCTGTCAAGGGAATTTGGTGAAATGTTTTTTCTATGTTGCCATCATTTATTGTAGTATATACAATAAAACCTTTCATAAGCATAATTCTTTCTGGAAATATGCTTGTAATCCAAAGCACTTGTATTATCAGTGCAGTTTCCCATCAGAAATAGACAATTCATTCCACAGCCTACACATAGTTATAGAAAAATGATCCTAATACAAAATAAAAGTATAAAATTAACTGCGCCTACCTTTGAACACCTTCATGGCTGGTGTGAGAGGAGGGCTGTGTGATGACTTTCACCGTCGTTAACTGGAATTGCTATTAGCTATCAGAATTTAAAAATATATATATATTTGGTACAGGGCCTCACTACACAGCTCAGACTCATAGTGATCCTCCTGTTTTCAGCTTCCCAGGTGCTGGGGTTACGGATGTGCACCACCATGGGTGGGGTGGGGCTGGTGCAGCATGAGGTGCCAGGGATCAAACCTCAGTCCCTGCCTTTGCCTAAGCAGGCGGTTACTCTGCTATCTCACCTGCCCTTTCAGCATTTTGTTTTCCTGCAACTGTAATAAGGAACCTATCTGATGACATGCCTTTACATTCTTTTGAGGCTTTTAAAGAAATGTGACATTGCATAGTCATTAATAGACTCATCATGACTACTACTGCCTACTTGGGTGGTGCCTTTCTGGAAAACTGCACCATTTTCTACATCTCATTTGCAGTGAGGGATTCTGCCGCCTTTTTCTCCTCCTCTGCAATAAGATCTCCATATCTTCTTGCTGTTGGGAGATGATCATCCATAATCCCACAGTGAAACGGGAAGAGATCACTCGCTCTGCTGTGATCATGTGATGCCTGGCATCACCTATTCATATTGCAAGACATTGCTAGTTTTATCAGGTTAAAATTTACTAGAAATGTTGGCTTGTCTTGCAGAATGCTTGCAGAACAAGTCACCCAAAACCCAAGGTTTTACTGTACTTTAGCTTTTCCTGTTCACTGCAGGGCTTGTCTCATGATCCTGATGCTAAAAGCTAAGACAATGTAAGTAGCCAGCAGCCTCTACCATAACCATCCCAAATAGGAATGTGTGGAAATGAAGCTGGATTAATTCACCTTTCTTCAAAGTACCAATAAACCTGCAAAAGCCCTGGACACTGTCTCTTGAACTCTTCCTTTGGCCTTCGGAGGCTGCTAGTAGCACTGAAGGACAATGACAGAGGAATCTCTAGAAAACCGTATGATAGCAAGTGCCAGATATGTAAGACAACAGCATCAGGCGACTCAGAAGGGCACGCCTCACTTGCAGGGGAACTACATGTGTGTGGTCTCCCCAGTGCCCCATCTCAGGGTTCACTGGCTCACCTGCCTCCACTGAGACCACTCAAGTGTTAACTTCATTCTCCTGCAGAACAGTCTCTAGGGGGCTGTGCCCCAGCTCCACAAGGGATCACATCAACTTGTCTTCTTGGTCATCACAGTGCCAGCTACAGCCAACAGATGGAAACATGGACTTCCAGCTGCTGGGGTGACAGCTCTCGCTTGTGTGGCACTGACTGGCTAGGTTACCAGGTCTCATTTAAGTCACAAGGTTAAACACTTCCATTTAAGGCTGACAAAGACTTAACGTTGTTGTGGAGGTGGATGTGGTCAGGACCCCATCTTAGGAGACCTGGCAAAGCTCAAAGGCAGAGCCTGGCTGAGTCCACGCGGACATGCAGAGCAGGAGGCTCCTCTGGCACCAGGACACCAACTGGGCCCCTCTCACACACAGCACAGGGCCCCAATGAAGGAGAAACAGCCAGTGTTTTGCCTTTTCATATTTTTATTTTTATACATTTTTTGTATTAAAAAGAAAAGCATAATTACCACAAATTACAAAGGACTAAAGCAGGACTAGAATAATGAATGAATCACTTCAGCCTGGGAAGCAGATACTCTCAATAATATTAATGTTATAATACAAGCTCATTCAAGTATTTTACATTTTTTTGTCCTTTGAAGTGAAATCCTAGCACATGGTAAAGATAATGTACTATGAGCGTAAGGTGGAACCTTCTCCGCAAAGTCAGATGACAAGTTTCCTCTCCAGTGAGAAACGGGCTGCAAGGTGTCTTCTCTGCCATCAACAGAGCTGAAGGAGGAAGAGGGAGGGGGCGGGGAGCATGTCGGGCCCCTCTCCTACAAGAGACACTGGAGTTCCCACTCAGGAGGGTGCAGGGGAGTCTGCACCTCTACCCAAGCTTTTGGCAAAAACTCACCCATCTTAACTACTCCTCCTCTTGCCCCTCCTCCCCACTTGTAGGGCCTTCTGAGCAGCTTTCTTTGTGAACCACTCATCAGGAAAGGGGGGAAAAGCTACAATGGAACAAAACAGAAACACTGAACAACTTTGAAGGGGCTCAGCTGTCTGAGCCCCAGGGGTCTAGGCTGGGCAGGGTTGGGAGGCTTTCTCTAGTGGTAGTGCATTTCTCTGGGGCTCAGGAGAGGGCAGACAAGGAGCTGCCCTTGTAAGCGAGCGCAGCCCTCCGTGGGACGCCCAAGGGGTGTGCGGTCACACACTGCCTTAGAAGGGCAGTGGGTGCACGGGGTTTGGTGGGCTGCTGCCTGTCTCCCGTCTTAGACCGCCTGTAGGAAGGTGGCAGGTGTGAAGTGGCTGGGAAGGTGGCAGGTGTGAAGTGGCTAGCCCTGCCATCCTTGGCATGCTTGTCACAGATACGTCGGTCCTAAGTTCAAGTGTCTTCAGAAAGTGAAGATGTAAACTACTCTTTGCAACATTAACTCCTAACATGTTACAAA